AAAATTTTGGTATTTATTGGATTTTGGATTTTACTTTAAATTATTTCGAATAAGGAAAGATTTTCAACAGCATAATAACCGCAAATAGCATTTTCTTTGTAAATATCTAAATTAATAGGCTAAAAATGCCTGGATAAGTTATCCTTTAATCCTTTTAAAATGTCACAGTTTTAAATTTTAATTAAAATATTTGAGGTGGAGCAAAGATGATGAAAAAATCATCGCATATTTCATGAAAAAGTAAAAACATGATAATTTGAAATGATAGCTTCTTTTTTCTTTCCATGTTGAAATTAAGTGAATAGCATTATATCACTGAGTGATTTAATTCTTCAAGACAATCACTATTTGACCTTGTCCCCCTAAGTTCGAGACTCGGGATAAAAAGAAGTAAGTCTTTTTGCACAGTAACCTAAAATGTTCTTAAAATAATCGAATATTTATAGCATTAAAGTTCAGTACTTCAATTTTACTAATATTAAATGAATTATCACGGCAACCTTATATAAATTAGATTTTGTAGAAAATTTAAAAGTACCCTCCAGCCATACGTAATTATAGAAAAAACTAACCTCTTGAGTTCCTTCTAGAATTTCGATCTCAGGAATGTATCCCATTATCGATTCTTTAATGATCACAACTTTCCGTCAATGTTTACTAATTACTGCAATCTGAAAACGTTATATATGACTTGTTGATTATTAATCTAAAAATAAAATTTTCTTCTCGTTCTATATGGAATGGTGTCATTATTTAATTTAGTGATATTCAACACAGATTTCGATATTCTTTTTTCATTTGTTTTATCCTTTCTTCTTAGAACATAAGGACTCATAATTTCAACTTCGTCACCAACTTGATCTGTTAATTTAGAATGAATACATTTCTTCATTTTTTATGCGTCACATTCTTGCATTTCCTTAAATTTCAAAAATATTTTGTTGCCTCCCTAAACCTCAACTTCATCAGCAAGTTAGAGATTGATGACGCAATAAGAATTTTCAAAAGAATTCAAGATTTCTTTGGGAGTATTGCTCAAGATCATATTCTTGTTTATTAAAGCTTTACTGTTTGGATTCAACATTTATATTTTCAAAAATTTTTTAAAGGAGGAATTTTAAGGATAAATCATTTAGGTAGCAAAAAAGAAAAGCACCTAATATTAAACTTAAATTCGTATAAACTTAGGTAAGCATGAAATTTTTACTGCAAGACAAGCAAATGTGTTTTAATCATTCAGAAATTTTGAAAATTGCGCAGCGATAATTACACTAGAAAATCCACTAAATGACTTATAATGTTTCAATAACATTTCTCGATGAATTTAAATAGATTTAAAAAATACGAAGAAATATTTGAAATTCTTTAATCTGAATGCTTTCGATGTTGGAAACGAGAATTAATTTCTTTTCTGTTACTAAAGAAAAATTCTTTATTAGGTGTCTGAGAGCTATTAAGTCTTTAAACCATTAGCACAAATAACTGAATAGCCTTCACAAAACAAACTTCATTTTGTAATTAAAAAGGCTGTGGTTTATATTGTGACACTCGAAGAATATTTTTCCATGAAAAAGAATACTTGACGAGAAGATCCTTAGTAAATTCCACAGGTATTCAAGAATGTTTTGCAAAGCGCTGTAAAGTTGGCCTTACTAGTTTACATTTATAATATAATATGACAAATAATTTAGTGGAGGAAATTGATTAAAAAAAGGTATGCTAATTAGAGCTTATAGGTACTCATCAATCTTCAATCTTCAATAAAATAAGACATCAAGATCGAAAAGTTGTCATCTGTCTAACACATACAGGTTCTTGCGAGAAGGAAGAAATGAGACAGTTATTTTGAGCCTTTCACTAAATCGTTTGAACTGTGTTTAAAAAGTTGGCTGGAAAGGCAGACATTGGCGGAAGATTAAATAATTTATAATTCCTTAATGAAATTCGGAAAAGATGGATGTGATAGCTGAAGACTGAAGGGAAACAGGAATAAGTAGAATGATTAGAGAAGAAAAATAAGCCAAAACCTGAAATGTAAGATTACAGGAAGTAGATGAATAAGTAAGTTACAAACTTAAACCAATCTTTATTAATCTGTCAATGAGGGGGGCGCGGTTACTACTCGGGAAATCAAAGGATATGCCACGTGTCATATACGTCCTCACGAAGAAAGGACAATTTCTAATGTTAGTGAAATCAATCAAATTTAAGAATTTGTAGATAAGAGATGATAATAGTTTAGCGTGTCAGAAGTTATAAACATATGTGTTAAAAAATAATCTTAAAAGAGCTGTAAAGTAAGGTTTTGCACAAAAAAAAAAAAAAAAACGTTACAAGTGAAAGTCATAAATGAAACTGAATAAAATATAGGTAAAATGGAATTGAAGATATTCCTGATGTAGCTTTAGCTCTAAGATCATAGTGACCTCCATTTTTCAGCAGTGAACTAAATTTAATCTGTGGAATCAAATAATCATAAATTTGAAAAATAAAAGAGATTAATAGGAGAGAATTCGGAATGGCAAGATACTTTTCAGATGTCAATTCCTGTTAAGTTTACCTTAAATGCTATTCTTCTATCAACAACTTCTTTCTTCCTTTTCTTCTAAATTTTACTCTCATTTGGTAGTAATATAGTTTATGGGACAGGAGACAAAAAACTAATTAGTATAATGTTGACATATTAACTGATTAATTTTTTTAATGATTGAATAAATTAAAATCAGTTTGATTATATTAAATTAATTCGATTTGACTAGTTAATTTAGTTTAACCTACTGATTGATCGAAATAAGACATGTATAAAAATATTCAAAATTCAGATACTAATAAAGAATATTTTAAATTCCTATGATTGACTTCTAGTTTTTTTGTGGAGAGAATTTCTGGAATTTTTTTTCTGAAAAACTCATCAAATTAAATGGCAGAAGAGAAAGAACGCTTTTCTTTAGTCCTTTATGATTATTTTCTTCTATCCCTAAAATGTAAAACTTTTTCAAATTCGTCGTATCTTATTTCGGAAAAATGATTCCAATTATAAATTATAATTAGTGGAAAACAGCAAATCACAAGTAAGTTTAACTTTTTTCAATGTAAAATTTCTTTCATCTAATCTATTTCAACTCAGAAGTGTTTAGGGTTTTAAATCTTGACCATTTCTATTTTTTGCATATTTTATTCAGATTTTGTAATGGTCCATAATAACCTAATAGATGTCTATTTAATAGCGCAATATAACATACTCATTTGGAAAGAATTATGCTTTCATTTCTTCTTCAATTCATAACAATGAAATAAGTTTGAAATTTTCAGATCTGTAAGAAGAAATAATTTTTAAAGGAACAAAATCAGTTTTTTAAAATTACAATATTTATTTTACCTTAGAAAATGATAATTTACTCAATTGAATCATAGATTAAGGAATACTGGGATAAAATGTTATAAAAATAGAAAACTTTTAAAAGATTATCTAGCCAAACACAGTTCAGAAAAAACTTTTGCTCTTTAATTATCTTCGATTTTAATGTGAAACAAAATTTTAGATGTAATTTTCAGTTTGATGAATACATGAAGCTTATAAAAATGTTGCTGAGAAAACAAGTAAAATACTAATTTCAAGTAATATAAATTCAATTAAAACCATATTAAGCATAAATTCATTTAAAAAGAACGAAGAGATGTTGTTTGTACAATATATTTATTTTACACACTTTATATTAAGATAATGGACCAAAATTTACACTAAAGGACCGTATTATTTTTGATCTCTCTGAAATTTTACAAATATATTTGGTTATCATCAAGGCAGAAAGTCTGGTTTATCCTGTTGGGTTTTATTGTTATAAGTTTGGAGTTGTCTACTGAAATAAGATTGTTAGGGCCGAGAAAAGATTCTTTACTTTGTTTTACTTGTTTTACGTTTATCTCAGTTAATGCTTTCGCTAACTTCCGGAAGTCCACTACTAATCATCTTTTTGGAACAGTCGATCATTATCCTTCTCATTTGAAGCCATAATCAACGAAATTAACAATGTTATTACGTCTTATTGAACTTATTGTAGTTGGAATTTTCTCCGTTGAACATTATTATTCATTTCGTTAATCATTCTAGCAATTTTAATTACGTAGTCCGAGCCGCATTTGCCGGAAAAAAATTTAGAATTTATTGCTAGGACTCTCTTTAAGTCAGATACTAAGGTATGTTTTTCTATTTCTCATACACTTTCTTGCATGTTATCAAATTTGTCTTTTCTTTATGTGTTGCACATATTTCAGGAATGGTTGGTTTTGGGTAGCGTATTGTAATCGGACTCAGTCGAAAAAGAATTTGTTAGGATTAGTGAAGTATTAAATGAGGCTTATAACATTTCAAATTCAGTCGTTGCTCATCAGTCTCCGGTATTGTTTTTTGGAGAAACTTCAAAAAATTAGTTGCTATTTCTCTCTGTAATTTTAGGGTTTTGAGTAATGTAGGAAATTTTATATCAGTGCCACAAATATCAACAATTGCAAACACTCGATGTTAATTGTATTTGCTGTGATGTCATCAACTCATTTAGAAGGTTCCATTTAACTTAATATTTATTTGAATCACTCAAACTTTTGAGCTTGATATTACTAGAAAATATCGCGTAAAAGGAAAATCAGAATTTCATGCAATTCAGTGACCTTATTTCGTTTATTAGCACAGTGGTTATTGGTTGCTAAAAACATCCGGGACATATTTTTCATTGTGATTCAGTTTTCTAGGCTGCTTTTTCCATGTTCCAATTTCTTATGGATGAATTTTGAATAACTAATAATTTATTTTGATGCTGTTTTTTTTTCTTTTTCACTTTAAACTTTCTTCACTCAAAAAAAAAAAAAAATTTTCAGTTTTCCTGTTGATGTCTTTCTTAACTCTGATTAGAGTTTATATTTTATGTATGCACTGCTTAGAATTTCAGAGAACTTGGATACTAATTGACATGTGGTTTTTAGATTATGTTTATGATGTTCACATGGACATCAGTCACCAATTTTTCCCACTTCCGAGCGTAGCAGTTCCGAATATTACGATTAATCGGCCATCTGTGACGGAGGTTAATTAACACTTTATTAATTTGTGCAACATAAACAGTTACTGTTCATTTCTCAGATTTCTGCTTTTTGCAAATTTTCAGTACAGTTTTGAGAGTGAGAGAAAAGCTATTGCCGATTACGAGAAGAATAAGGCTGCCTTAACAATCAAAGTGAAAGAAATGAAAACTAAGAATGTAAATTCTGAAAGACAGTCAAGCATTGTGGTTGATGGAGCCTCAAATATAACCTGCGGATTACATACTCGAAAAGTTTATTCAAATGCTATATTAGAACCGAGTCGTGTTGCAGTCACAACTTCTCAGCAGGTTATAATATTCATCACTTTCCAAAATATCCAACTACATGGATCATCTTTATCAGAAATCTGCAGCAGCGTTAATCACTTTCTTAGTTTTTCTGATTCATAGAGTCATTTTCAAAATTTTGACTTCGAAAGAAAATATAATTCGGGAATGAAAATACCCAAAATTTTTTATTCCATCTATTTCATTTAACTTAACACAATGCATTTCAAAAAGGATACAAAATTAACACTTCCATTCCCGAACTTGAATCTGTTTTTTGGAATGATTATAAATGGAAAAGGTAATTTTCAGTATATTAAAAGTTTTTTGACAATGAAATTTTTTGGCGCCATTGGTTTATTGAATGATTTACTAACTTAGACTTAAAATAACTTCGACTGACTTAAAAATTAACTTAGATATAACTCAGACTTATATATCTTTAAATACACACATATTTGCCAGTATTCCGTATCATGATTTCTTATTGCAGCAAAATACGAAACAAGTTAAGCCAGCAATGAATACCTTTGAAGAATTTGAATTAAAACCGAATCTTTTTGATCTCTTGGAATTAAGAACCATAGATGATAAAGCTGCCCTTGAACAGATACTTGCCAATGCACCACCGCCGCTATCTTCTAACGTTGTTGGAAGTAGTGCTCAGTCTTCCTCAGGATTATTGTCTTCATCATCGATTCCAAACATGGTTTGTTACAGCTCCTCTTGTTTATGGTGCTTTGCATAAAAACCCATTATAATTTATCTTATCAATATGTTCCTCGAACAAATGACTCTTCTGCTATACTTTCAAGGGAGAGACATGTGAATGATTTGTTTATCAAAACATTTATCAGGTTCTTCTTAATTCTTAGCTCTAGTAAATTGCTTGTTGTAACTTCGAATTTCGAAATCCGGAAATTATCTTATTTCATAGTTTCAGGGTTTAAAGGTATCAGGAAGTGATAATGCCCACAGTTTGTATAATTTGTCGACTCTCAAAAGCTATAGCAGCTCATTTGGTATCGGCGTTCCCAGTGCTTCTTTCAGACAAAATTTATAGAGTCTTGTGTGGGAAACTAAATTTGGTTTATTTTAAAAACCCTTTTTTTCTCTGTTGTTTTTAATCTGAAGGAAAGAAAAGTCGGAGAGAAATTAAGTAACATGTATAAAACAAACACCGCTTACCTACAGGTTAAATTACTTGTTAATTTGTCATGAATTTGCCTGTATGTTGCTGTCCACGGTATAAAAAAATTGAAATTAATCCAGAAATTTTTATCCACTTATCTGGAATCACATATGTTTAATTTTGGTTCATATGTCAAATGAGAAGTGATTGTACTGCAGTTGCTCAGTATTCGGGCTCACTTTATTGTTTTTCATAGCTACACAATTTGAAGTACTTCGGGATTTACAGCTGTTTGGAGTAATATATAATTTCTGCTTTGAAGTGGAATGTATTATACTTTATCTACTTGTTGATTTCCTTACTAGATCACACTTAGCCTTATTTTAGTCGTCCTTACTAAATCGCGATGAATCATTGCAGATTCTATAACGTATTTGGTTTTTGTCACTTAATTTACATTTACATCAGTTGGTTTTGTCATTAGGAAATTAAGGCGAAATAAAGTTTCGCTGACCAAAGAGCAGTTTGGAAACTGCTACATCCTGTTCGATTCTTTTTTCAAATAAATTTGAAATATCTAAGTGCTTGAAAGAAAATTAATGGTACTGTGTTTTTTTTTTTTGTCTGAAACTCATCAATTTTGTAGACAGCGATACCTTCCATTTAGTGTTTACCATGTGACTTGCTCGATATACTGCGAATCAGCGTGATTCGAATCAGATACTTCCGTTGTTCCCATATTTTATTTTAAAATAACACAATGCTTCTTTTACATGCTGATAACATTATCGTATATAGGTGTCGCAGTGTCTCATTACATTTTGGTTCATGTTACTTATGATTTAATTTTCCTGATTGATGGGATTTAATCATATTGATGAACGTTGTAAGTTTCTGTATTTGTCCGAAATACTAGGAACATTCGTTAAAGTAAAGGACTAAGCGTTTCCAGCCTCTTTTCATGCGCAAAAATTTGTGGGAGAAAAACGTCTCCCAGGTGGAATGGAGGTCCTTGCTTCCTTCCAAATATGTTGTGCTCTATGTTTTCCACTATAATTACATACATAAATATAAGGTGTGAAGCTACAGATTTTTAGTTGATTTCTGGAAACTTTTAAGTATTTTGCATAATATCTTGGATAATTTCTGGGAACCCAATGATCTATCTGTATTTTGATCAGCTAGTCGAGTAACAGGTTCTTTTTTCGAAGACAAAGTTGCAGAATTTATTTTGCAAAACTGTAAAGCATTGCGATGATATTGTTGTTCAAATATCGCCCAGTGACATTTAATTCACCCACTTTAGGCCTACGATGGAAAATCCCAAAGTACCCCAAATAACACCAATCCTTGCCGTACAGTAAGCGCAGCATGACATGGTACAGTATGACGTGATTACTGTACTATTGTACGTAATATACGGTGCAATGGGATGTTCATCGATTATTGTCTTTCCTTTCCTTTCATTATAAAGAAAGTAGGAAGCAATGGAGAGGTGGTCAGTAGTGAGAATGAATGAAGCAGAGAAAGAGGAAGAAGGATAGATGGACCGATGTCCTTGTCAATATTGATTTATGTGTCACATGGCAGTTTGTAACCACTGGTGACAATGTTGTCTTCCAAGGTCCTTTTTATTGGCATACTTTTTCTTGCTGTTGCATTTTTGGAAGCATCCACAATATCGACTATCTTTCCAGGTGAGATTGCTGAATTGTTTATAAGAGAATGAATCTTTTAGCTACAGTTAGAATCCCTGATAATGGTTGATGTATGACAAGGACCATTGGTACTTCTTATCAGCGTTGTTTGATTTTATCGTTGATATAATTGTTCGGAATTAATTAGATTTGATTTTCAGAGAATGTCTTTACGATTGGAAGGTTGGCGTATAGGCGATTATTGCTGGACCCACAATCTGCATCCCTTTATGTGGGTGCAAATGGACACTTATTTCGGTTGTGGGCATATAATATCAATATAACTACGTCTACCGATGGCCTGGTAACTTTATAGTTTCGTTTCATAGTATATTTTTAAAATTTTACGCAGTTATCACTAATTTAATGCTTGGGAAGTCTTAATTTTTTAATTGTGAGACCTTTTGAGAAATTAAACTGCACATGAACACGTGAAGATAATTCTGCATTCATTTGCCATGATTTAAGTCGAGTTTTATGCAGTTGAATAACATGGTTTTACTACAAATTTAGTATGCTCACACAGAGCTTCCGGTTTCCCAATCTGATGCTGAAGAATGTCGTCGAGCTGGCCATGCGGAATGTTTTAATGGAGTACGACTCATGTTCCTGAAGGAAGGTCATCAGACATTACTGGTTTGCTCTTCAAATGCTATGAAACCTCAGCTACGTGAACTTGATGCGTTATCCCTACAGGAACGTTCCTCTCCTGAAAATGTTATTGGTGTATGTTCAGCTCACGTGGATCTCAATACAACGGCGGTACTTGTCGGTGAATTAAAAATTTTTAATCTTTTTTTTTTCTAGTTCTGTCAAATATCATCAGTTAGTATATCTGTAGTTGTCGTCAGAATGGCTAATATTTCGCAGTGGTGATTTCAAGAATAATAAATTTTTAGAGTGGGGCAACCCGGAAGATATACCTGCCATCTATTCTGGTATAAGAACAGGTCTTATTCTTGACAACAATCTGATTTATCGGCCACCACTGGTCAAAAACAATAAGGAAGTCTATTCCTCAATGAGAACCATCTATACAGATTCGAAGTGGTTATATGGTAAATTAATATAAATTTAAAGTCACAAAAAATTGCATAAAATAAAGTGGTTATGTTAATTGATAAACGCAATTTGACATATGCCTATATCTCAGTAATATTCAAGGACCAAGCACAAATTTTGGTTTAATATCTAGGACGTTCTTTTGTTGTACATGATATTTAATTTACTTAAATCTAATGTGAACTTATGGCTTAGAACCGGACTTCGTGGCATCATTCAACATTGGCAAGTATGTCTACTTCTTTTTCCGTGAAGTGGCGATTGAGCGTGAAAACTGTGAGCGTGTTGTATTTTCTAGAGTTGCTCGTATTTGTAAGGTAAGTGTTGTTTTCTCTTTCTAAATTTGATTTTTTTTTTTTTTCTGAATGGTTTTTTTCCAAAAAAATCTCATTTTCATTGCATAATATTTCATCATGCTGCCTATCACCATGCTATAATGTTAAATATTGTGTCGAACAGCTTTTTAACTAGCCTGTAAATAATCTATATATTGCATAGAAAGATGTTGGTGGGAAAAACGTGTTGAGACAGGTTTGGACTACATTCATTAAGGCTCGTCTGAATTGCTCAACTTCTTCAAAGCTCTCCATTTATTTCAATGAATTGCGTACGTTTGCTTTGTGCTTTTCTGGAATCTACGTATCCTCAATAAATTAAAAATGTTGTTTAATACCGGTTGTTTTTTTGATGAAAAAAAAAAGAACAAATTTTGGTAGTTACTATTTATCCGTGATGAATGCGGTGTAAATAAAGAATAAAGATGGTTTTGTTATTGGATCCATTGAAGACGGGTCTATTTATGGGATTTGTTCACTTTTATGTCGCAGTTGTTAATTTCTAGAATCACTGCAAAGCATAGATGGTAGATCTGACACTTTGTTCTACGCTACTTTTATAACACCTGAAATCTCTTTTGGTGGTAGCGCCGTTTGCGTCTTCTCATTAAACAGTATTGACCAGGTATTTTGTAAATATTTTTCGCCCTAAAAGACTTGATTGTGTTGGCATATGATTGGAATTGCATGTAATAAATTAGTGGTTGATTAAGTCGTTTATATAAATAGTTTGACTTACTCGATTGTTGTATGCATTGAAATAAATATCTTTTTTTGTTTATAGTTATTCGATCATGGATATTTTTTGGAACAAACCTCACTTGATGGTAGTTGGATCACTACATCACCCAAAAATGTTCCTGAACATCGTCCTGGAGCAGTAAATTTTCTTATTCAATTGATTCATGTTCTAAAATTCCACTTTTGCCAAATTACTATCTTTTTTTGAAGTTAGGAATTCATTTTATTTTAGTGCACAGCCAATTCAGCATCTGTCCCGGATAGTACTTTACATTTTGCACGATCTCACTTGTTGATGGCAGATGCTATATCAGCTGATCAACCACTGCTAGTGTTGCGTGATGAACTGCTAACACACATTGCTATTGATTCAATGGATGATGTCAACGTTATTTTTGTTTATTCGCATAGGTTAATTTTAAACCATTATTTGATGTGATTCTCGTATTTGAAAATTTCAACCAATTAACATGTAACAATGACCCATTGGCTAACTTGAAATTTCCAATAATATCCAGGATTATGCTTAGCATTTTTAAATCTTAGCTTCAGTGATTCCTTGCTTAGTTCAGCATGAAAATTCTACGAAAGCACTAAAAATTTCAGCAAAAAAAAAATTGAACTCAATTCAGCAATATATACTGTCTTTCAGTTCTCAAAGGCTACATAAGATAGCGCATTGGTTTGAAGATAAGCATTCAACATTGTTAGCTACGTATAATTTGAAAAGAACTGGAACTGTTTTTGCCATGACACTATTGCCAGGCGAATTTGTCTATGTATCGGGTGAGGATAGTGTCGACCAGTACTTCCTGGCCCAGTGCTCACTTCATGTTATTTGTAAGCATTGTGCTGTTGACCCATACTGTTCATGGAATACTGCTCGTGGATTATGTTATAAACGTGAACGAGCTCATTTCTCAGCGTCTGGGTAAAGGATTTTATTAATCATTTCCTTTTTATGTTTATTTTCTATCAGTTTTCCTTTCGACTTTGGCACTCATTTTTTTTTTATATTGGTGCTTAAACTCCGAAATATGCATTTCTCCGAAAACACTCTCTGTCTGATAGGTTTAGTTCCAATAAAGTTCATTTCTGTTGCATCAAGAATTTGTTCTTTTAAGCATTATTCAAAACTTTTTTTCACAAATTTGTAAATTATTTAAATTTTAGGTGGGTCAGTTCCAATTCTAAAGACACTGGCAAATGTCTAGGGCATGTAAAACGGATAACGATTAATGCCTATGTTGGTGACACATTGCATCTCATTTGTATGAAGCAATCAACATGGATTTTCAATACTGATCCAGTTTTGCCATCTGAAAAGAGGCAGTTAACAATGGAAGGAGGACTGGTTGTTTTCAATGCAAGTGTTAATTTAAATGGTAGTTTTCAGAAATAGTATTTGCTTGAAGTGGTTGTCTTTCAAATACCACCTTATTTTTTAGGTTTCTGGAATAGATAGTGGTACCTATGAATGCAGTATAGACAAAGAAGCTGTTATGATATACGAAATTACAGTCGATGATGGTTAGCTTTCTTTTATTGGAGTATTTATCATTGCCTCAGTTTGTTATTGAGATTGTCTACTTTAATAATAAGACTGAGCTTTTCATTGTAGCTGAATGCGCACAACCGACTAGTGTAGCTCAGTTTAAATCAAAATATCGAGAATGGTGTCAGAAATTTGCGAAATACAAACACTCTGCTGAAAAATGGCAACTTTGGTATGACAGAAATGTAAGGATTTTTTAGTTAAAAGAATAATTTAGCGCCGTTTAAGTAATTATTAAATTATGAATTGAATAACTGGAATATTATTGAAATAAGATTACAAATCATTTTTCGTTGGTTTACTCCATGTCAAAATTTTTAAACCATTATTCACATCATTTAGTTTTATTAATCTAAAACCATGAGCGTGACTGATTCTGTCATTCTCTCATTCAACCAAAATCAGCTTTAACTTTCATTGTTTAGTGAAGTTAATTCCAGGCAGCAAACTGTCCCAAACAAAGGTTCACCGATTTTAATCACATTACCATTGCATAATCTTAATAGATCTGAAGTTCGGTTTTCTGTATATTTATATATGTTTATCATTCTGCTGATATTTTTGATCTCTAGAGGGACATCTGGAAAATCTCCATCACGCTAAAATTGGAAAAGATGTCTCGTTTTGAACCAAATTAAGTTTGGTATGCCTACACAGATTTTATATGCTTCTGCCAACAAAAAGAATTTAATTGGCTGAGTTATTAATTATTTAAGTTTACTTTCGTGATTGTTTTTTAATATATTACAAGCACATCATGCTGTTATAATATATGTTAACCAGAATATTCTTATTGCTTTGTTAATTTCTGTTTTTGTCAACATTAAGACCTACGGGTGAATTAAAATAATTTGCTTTTTTGTTGGCTTGACATTCCTCTTTTAAAAATGGATACTTGGCTTTGAGTACATAATTTATAGCTTACTGGAAATATTCTGCGCTAATCTCCTAACATTTTCAATACTTCAGTAGAGTTTGTGCCTTTATTATTTGTCATAACTGTCTTCACCATACTGTTATTTTAGAATATTTTGTCCAAGTAAATTCAGTCTAATTGTGAAACATTGTTTAGTAAGTTTGACATGTTCTAAAGTTGACACAGTCTAAAATAACCAGATTATGTGAAAGCAGCTAGTTAAACAGAAACAGTCAGGGTTAAATGATATTGGAAAGGCCAGCTAAATGTTTGGTGCTTTGTACGTATGATGATGTTTTTCGGTATATAGCGTTAAGTGCTAGAGTTGCCTGAAGTGAAATACATTTGAATAAATATTTGAAATATTGCATAATTAAGCAATGGGGCAGTCATTGGAAGTATAAATGTATGAAAAAGGATAATTTCAATTCTCATAAGTTAGGCAGTAAACAATGGACAATGTCATTTCTTTAGTAGATACCAGTCTCGATGAAAACTTTTGAAACGATTTTGATAGTTCAATATTGTATGAAATCGAAGTTGTGGATAATGTGTTTGGTAAGATTGTCAAATTATTCAAAGGCAGTGCTTCCTGAAATCGATATTTTCCTGAATTAGTTATCTGACATAGTCTTGTATTGATGAGGCTTGTGGGAATGAACTATTTCATTAATATTGCTTGAATAAAAAGCTCATTAAAATATCATGATTTACGCGATATGTTATTCAGATACATCATTAGCTTTTATCTTTGTATAAGCGCTGTTAATTATCAACGATGAAAGGAACCAGAAGATTCATCCATCGGTAAAAACATATTTTGATTCGATTTGATTCTACTAATGTAAAGTCTTACCATTATACATTCATTGCCTGTATGTAACAAATGGCTCATATAGTTGGAGCATAATTCTCGACATCTTTGGTAGAAGAAATCGAGATATTTGTTAGTAGTAAGCAGGGAAACATGGTATTTGCTGTTCATTTCTGTTCAGAATTATCTCAAAATATTCAAGCTAACAGTTTTTTTTTCGTATATTTAATGTAATGTATTTAGTGGATTGTATTGCAGTAATACCTTGATTTACACGATATCTTGCAATACAGTTAGATGCAGTAGCCTATGTTTACTTCTTTTTCATTGAGCTTAATTCAGTTTATCATAATCAGTTTCTTTTTAGTTTTTGGTGTTGAAAACGCTGCATTTTTTCCTTTTGAGAGATATTGAATAGCATACGAAGACCTTTACTTTATGATACTTTTATAAGAACTATTAATTTCAAATTAGCTTATGCCGCTTAATCTTATCATCGAGAACGCTGTACGATGTTCGAGTAATCTTACTGAAATCGATTGATAATGATGAGAATCTTTTCATGACTTATGAAATTTAGTCTCGCACTTTTCCACTTATCTCTTAAAAATGAATATTTAGTTAAAATATTTAACAATATTCGAGAAATATCGGTTCTTACAAATATTGAAATTATAAGCCTCATAATTTACATTATTGGGAAACTGCTGGAACTTTATTTTCCGAATTGACTTTTGCAAACAGTTTCTAGGAGATACGAAAATGCATTCATACAAATAATTTTTTTATAAAATTATTGAAAATAATAATAATAATAGTATTAGTATTATGATGCTATCAGGACACTTTCATCATAATTTAATTGTGTCGAGGAATACAGCATTATTACTATTATAGCCTTAGTACTCAGCAGTCGGACTGGTGATAGTTTGCTATTCTGGATTCCCTTCAGTAAAATAACTATGGCAACTCTACTCCGATACATAGCTTCTGCAAAAAAAAAAAAAAAAAATGCTTGCTTAATAAGATGTTTAGATTGGAACTCGTAGAATAGTATAATAGTAAATGCATAATAATAGAATTAATGAAAATTCATATATAAATATATCACACGAATACGGTTACCTATCTATTTATATCTGCCATCATTTCACAAATGTCTGCTCGTAATTTATTACATCTTCGACAACTGAACCGGCAATTTTCAGCCATCCATAGATGATTTTTGTGGCATTCACCTTGAATGACCCAAACGGGACATTGTAAATGCCGATCTGAACATTCTGCAATCAAACATTCATTTCATTCACTTTACCTCAATTTAACAGAGAGATGAGTCATATGAGGAGCTTAATGAATGTGAATAACTGGAATTATGAGAACAGGAATAGTAAATTACTATTACAGTGAACAAAGAAATCAAAAAAGCGAGATTTGAAGCGCAAATGACTCAATTCAAACATAATAAAATACAAGCAACGATCATTGAACAAAACTTTAAACTGACTGAAGTGTTATTGATGTGTAAGGAAGCACAATATCTTGACAAAATCAAAAATATAGAATGCAAAGGTCGTCTGGAAGTAATGAAGAAATTTGGTGATATTAAAATTATGAAATAAAGTAGGAAGATGGCACTAGTTGTGAAAGATGAAATCTCAGAAATTACTAATTAGTAGGAACTTGTTAAATTGTCATATGCTAATCAAGTGTAAAACATTTAATAGCTATCTCTATCAGTTTTTATTATCACCTTAAAGTATAGTATAAAAGAGTGATCGCTTGCTAATCTCTTAATCTCAATATTAAATTCGAGTAGTCATTCTTACTCATAAATTCAATAACATTTTTCAAAGTGTTAATTTCTCATTATATCAGCTTAATTTTATCTCTTCCAATGATCTACTGATAAGCTGTTAACAGGCTAAAACAGATATATGTAGCCAAAACAAAACTTGCCAGAAAGAGTATTATATTGTGCAACACACTTATGACAGGATGCAGGACACCAATCTAGCATTATTTTCTCGTTTGTTTTACACTCACCCTTATTAGCCCAAATTGAGCAACACTCATGACTGTTATAACACTGCTCCTGAAATAAAGATCACTCATGTAATGCTTAATTAATTACTCAATTAAATTAAATGATTAAAGAAATAGTAGGAATATTTTTTACGAATTCTCGACTGTATTATGCCAATGAATTCAGGATCAGTAGGGATTTTTAGCCTTTTTCAATCAATTTTTGAGCGTAAAAACTCAATTTTCTGTTAAAATTTGCACAATTTAGAATAAAAAAACATAGAACAATCATGTCTCTTAGGAAAATTGTTAAATAATCCACAGGTAATATACAACTGAAAAAAGTCATAAAAGGGAAACAGTATGGTGGTAAATTTTGTCTTTATGGTAAACCTTTTCAACATTTGTTGTTGTTGTTGTTGTAATTAGCGCTGTCACCTTCCCTACAGCTACATCCTCTACACTTCTCGTTCGTTTTGTATTATTTTGATTCGTCTGAAACAAGAAAAGAAAGGAAATTTGTTTTAAAATGAAATATGGCAAAAGATATGATTAGAAAGAATAAAAGATGAAGAGAAATTCTAATATTCTACAAAAAATGTTGTATCTAATTGAAAACTGAGCGAGAAACGTGAGTCAAGTCAGCAGTGACCTCAGGTTATCTTTACTTCTTGCTAATTGAAAATTTTAAATTAAAAAAATATTTCATCTTGTTTCTGTAGAACCAGTGCGTTTTTAATACATCTTCCAGACAGACAAAAACCATTGTAGCAAGGGTTCTCCTGATGTGTATAACTGTCACAATTGCCTCCCACGCGTATTTTTGTCGAACACCGAGCGTTTCCGTGTGATAAATCACAGAATAGGAATCTGAATCCACGTTTTACTGCTTCCAGAGTCAGCTAAACTCTTATCTATCCATCAATTTGCTCGTTTATCAGTGGGTTTCACAGATTTCATCTCCCTTATCATCACCAAACTCTTCAAAACTTGATGGTTACTTAATTATTTTATGGCCCTATTGAACATCTTTGATTTGCTCACAGTAACTCATAAAGTTGCAATTAATTTTCAGCTTCTCGTGACAAACTTGGGGACAAATTTCTTGTCATGACTAATCTGAAATTGTTAGATTCAGGAAGTGAAAATGAATCGAATTGGAAGAATCGATCACTTACTCGCTCCCACACTGTTTATCCTGGCGTCCAGGACAAACAGGTCGTGGTGCATATTTGTACAATCTCTCGCTATAATTATTGCTGATTCCATCGATATTTCTAAGCGGTTCAAATGGTCGCATGGAATTTTGCGCAAAATGGTTTTCGCCACTACATTCTGGTAAATCTGGCGGATAACTTTTCGATCGTGAATCTCGACTCTGAAAAATTCTGGAACACTTATCAATTATTGTAATTTCTCAGAACGTTCTTATAGAGACTTAAGCTCGTTTCTGATGGATGATAAATTTAGTTCAACTTAAATTGAAGTTCTAGTAATATAATACTTGTCGATGTTGTCGCCAGTATTCCCAAATGCTATCCACAAAAACGTGGTGGAGGAAGAACAATGGATCATTTGCAGAAGTTATTTGATGAAACATATCACCACCGATCCATACAAGTGCATTTGCATGGCTATACTCGAGTGATGTCCAATCTGTTGGATACCTGCACCCCTGTATTTTTTCGTTATGTCAACATAATTAAAATATTTTCAATTTTATATGTGATATAAATATTGAAGCATTTTCAGTGCAACAACTATTTCGGCGAAGCCAAAGATATTTGGCATTTTAGCTAAATTTTACTTATTTATTTTTTAGGAACGCAGTAAACGCATATGCTAAACGTAATCAGTGTACTTTTAAGCTACTGATCACTGAAAGAAGCCACCAACTATGATTTATGTGAATTGAAAGCTATAAAAATTTACCGGCTGAGGAGCGGTATAAGCGAGTACGCCGATTACATCCGAATGTCTCATTACAGCTTGAATATCATCTTCATTCAGAGGACGTCCTTCTTGTCCAGGTCGTCTAATTATATGCTTTCCCTAGCAATAAATTTTGTATGAGATAGTTTCCTATTCATATAAATCCCAATCAATTCATCATTATTTCTTATTGTCATAACAATTTGTTAACAACTTCTAGAAAATTATATTTGCATAAAAAGTGTTCACATTATTACTAACCTCAGGTGTTGTCCAATTGGAAATGAAACCATTAATTATATTGCCATATTTATCATTCTCTCCCATTAATTCTTTGCTAAACAATATTGTATCTGCGCTTTCTGGTATCCCATTTTCAAGCGTTGAATCCCAATACGGTAGCGACACATCTGGATCGATGAGTCGAAGAGCAATTTCTAGTCTGAAGAATTTCTCTAATTCATGAAAGCGAAATGAAAGCCATAATTATGTAGCAGTAAAAGTGTAGTCATTCGATACTGATTCCTATATGAATAAGAAAAATAATAAATGATAATAGTTCTATTAGTTGAGAGGACCTTTTGATGTATTCTCTATGCCAAGGCAAAAAAGCAGGCCCAGAATGTGCTCCACCACTTAACTTTGGATTTGAATGCCATTGCGCAATTTTATCATAATCACCGCTTCGCTTCAATCGATTTAAAGCACTATGAAATCGTTGCCTTTCTTCTTCACTTAATTGCCTATATTCCTTACGAATAGCCATTGAAACTTTCTTCCCATTTGATAAGAAACATTCCAAATTTCTGAGTGAACCTTAAACAATGGCTCGGATAATTAGTGACAACAGACTTGAAAATGATTAATATCACCATTATGATAATGATAGTGACAAACCAATATCACCAAATGAAATGATAAAGACGATTTATCATATTCGAAAATTAAGAATGACATAATACAAATTAATTTACATAAAGTCTAAACTAACGAATACCATTAAAAAATGGACACAAGCAGTTGATATCCATGCATGCTAAAGCTTTCAATTGCTGATTCAGCAACAAAGTGCGAGATTCAGCTGACTGCTAAAATAGTAAGTAATCAAAATAGATGTAATCAAAATAGCTTTTCCAAGAAAAAAAAAAACTAAACATCTTTCCGCAGAAAAAAAAAGGAAAAAATGCGACTTAAATGAAATGCATTGCAATAAATATCATAACTTTCTTATACTTCTTACTTCGATATTATCACTATCACAAGATGATACCATAAATATGAGAAAAAAAGATCAATCAAATATTTCAAAAAATGAATAATTTAATTTGGCATTATTTTATTACCGTAAATACTAACATTTTTCTCAAATGGTTTCCTGCCTTGCTGTTGAACCGAAAGTATCGATGAACTAACGGAACTACTTGATATCCTCATCAATGATGACTGTGTGGATGAAATGGTTGATAGTAATGATGATGATGAAAATTGTTTGCGAATCAAATTATTGGGTCGTTGTTGACCAGGTGGACCAACCATATCTTGTTCCATTGCATACAGATCTTTTTTAATGATAGCAGTTGAAGGTGGCTTTTGTACATTATTTGTAATCTTTTTGCTGTGCAACGTTTCACTCAAATCATCATTCTTCAAGATTTGTTGTCGTCTACCAAATGACGATGATAATGATAATGATGAAATTGTACGTGGATAATACGTCTTCACATTTGTTACTTGTCCGCCACGGGTATGGATTGGCTTACTTTGTTCTGGAATTACAAATTACAGTAGAATGTATGCTTTGTGGAAGAAAAACTGAAGAAAATAACTTCATATGAAATTAGTGACATACAGGATGTATTGGAAAGTTTTCAAATAAAAATTTCTTTCGAGAATCTCAGAAAGTAAGTCTGATCTTGTATTATTATTTCTTCAATATTTCCATTAGAATAAAATATTCTAAGAAGAAAGCTTACTAGGAAGAGAAGAAATTTCATACTGTATTTCGAGTGCCACTCGCTTCGGTCCCTTTGAGGTGTATGTGTTAGCCGTGAAATTTTTTATTAAGCTAGAAGGCATTGGTAAGTTAACATGATGGCTGATAGCAAGCGGAGAGTTACCATGACTATTCATGCGATACAGTGCTTCATGTGATGGTATACTATAAGAGGAAGTCCACGAGGACCAACTAGTCCAACTTTGGGAATTACTTGTCCATCGGGATCGACTGGTGGTCCAAATTCTTTGTGAAGTCCAGGATGACGATGATTTATTCGGCGAAATGGAATGATGTTGCTAAAAAATGGTTCGTTTTGAATGCGGAACTTAATTGCTTGTGTTGATTTCATATGTAATCAGGACATTTAAAAGTTCTTATGCAAAATTATTGGAAATACGAGAATCATCAAATCATTCCGTTTCATCTGGTCTTTCATTTTAGTTCACTCGACTAAATCTTTACTACTTATAGGCTTCATTTAAATAGAAGTTCCTGTCCTTATCTTTAAAAGTTCAAAAAATTTTTGATTGATAATAATGGAAAATCAACATTAAATTGAAATTTCATCAAAAATCTGGCCAACCCTGACAGTTGTATCCCATTTCTTAAGTTGTGAGCAGACAATTTGGAGAGCTGAATTAGGCGCTTGGTCACAAAATGTCAGACGAATCCTGTATTGAGTACCAATAGAATATGTTAAAAATGTAATTACAGTAACTAGCAGTAATATATGCATGTGATGCTATGAGTAGGATACGGTGCCTGAAATACTACGGAGTAAGACCTGCAGAAAATTTAATTTTTTATTTAATTTATTTAATTTTACGCAGTAATAACGAATTATATTAAAACTTGTCGCTTATAAAAAGTGATAGAAATAAAAGATTTTTTTTGTTTCTCAGTAGAATTTGAAGAAAGTTTTCTCTGGGAGTTTTTTGAATCAATAAATCTTTAACCTGCTCGGAAATGGTATCTTAGGTTAGCTCCACTATCTTAAAAATAGTATCTTAATCAAATTCTATTTGTGCCAGAAATTTTCTTCCAGAGTAAATAGATGTAATTATATTCTTTTAGTGAATATCAGTTAAAATTAACTAAGAAGTTTCGTTATACATATATATATATACCATACTATTCTAAAGGTCAAATGACTTTCTGACACTTATTATATTCTAAAAATCATATGACTTCCTAATACTACACTACTCTAAAGATCATATTACATTCTAATAATATACTATTCCAGAAATTATATGACTTTCTAGTACTTTCAAAATTATATGATTTTCTAATACTGCACTATCCTAAAGAGCAAATAATTATACTATCTTAAAGATCATATAACTTACCTTTCCGTTTAATTTTTTCAGTCAAAATGAATTCAGTTTGTGAATATAGAAAAAGCGCGTGCGGATGGTATGTCAGTGCATTTGGTTTAAGTTCTAATATGATAAGAAAGGCTATTTTGCTGGTGCATACAAACAATTAAAGAAAAATTGATTGATTGGCAGAAGATAAAACATCTCAAAAAAAGTATTAACAAATAAACCATTTTTTATTTCCTTTTGCATCATATGATAACCGGAAAAGAAAAAGAAGAAATATATAGCTCTGCTAAATTGGGGAGAAAATATACTTCATTGCAGCAAAGGTATCAATATTCCAAAGTAAGTAAGTAACAATAAGCGAGCAGATAAGAATGAGTTCATGGCATCTTCTATGCATGAAAGTGGATGGATATTAGCAGTGATAGCTTTGAAAAAGAGAAGAATACTTTTTTTAAGTATTAACTGATTAGACTGACTGGGTAATATGGAAGCTATTTATTTCATCTGATTATGAAGCGCTGAAACATAAAGTATGCATTAGCTAACATTGATAAAATGATTCTATCATGTGGATTATTTGTAATTCATCCTCTCCTTCAAAAATTCTCACGGAAAAAGTTTGTCATGATGAAATAAAAATGTTTTCATAATGAAATAGTATTCAATATAGATTAAAAAAGAAAATACTTGACATAATTTTAAACTAACAAATAAATGAACTAACATGAAAATTCGTTTTTTTCTTTTAAATTAAGCGTTAGAAGTAGGAATTTAAAACTTTGCGTTAAATCTATCGTTTTATGTTGCCGTGAATATATTATTAAATAGCAATAGTTCAAAAAATTAAGTTTAGAAGAGATGGAAGAGTCTGTCGAACTATAATTACCCATTTATTGCCTATCTTTTTTCTCTGGTACATCAGAAGAGTACAATCAGTTTTTTCTTTTGCCACAAATTACAAAAAATTAAAAATTTCACGTTTGAGATATAAATTTCATATTTCAGAAATTAACCAGTTGAGAGTTGTTTGATTGTAAAGTAAACAAAACTGGTCATCACTCTAATAAGTGCAGGTAAAAAATTTACCAGTATGAAGTAACAGTGGTCCAATTTGAATTTTAACAAAAGCACATTTTGTGAATTATAAAATAAGAATAAAAAATTTTTTCTTGATTTTTAATTAATTCATTTGGTGTGATTCAAAATTTTAAGGATCAATCAAAACTACGTAATCTTTAAATTGTTTTCATATTTATAAATTGGAGGAATTGGATAATTTTGGGAACATATTTCACTTGTAAGCATTTTTTGTCGAAGATGCTTTTGAAGATGTTTTAAATCATATCAACATTTTTTACCATTGAGATTGTCACTTAAAAGAATTACTAACTGATCAGGCTGCTAAGTATCACTTTCTTCTTTCTGGAGACATTCACTTTATCACTCATTTCATTACAAGCCATACTGTTCGAAAAATCTTTAACAGAAACGATGAATTCCCAAAGTTTCTGAGAAAAAAAAAATGAATCAAACAACTAATCTCAAAACAAACAAAAAAAAGAGAATTTGAAATCAACTAACTATCAACTTAATTCATATTCAACATTAATCATCTGTGACGCAGCCTCAATTTCGTTTTAAATTTTCTAAAAAAATTTATCAATCACTGTTAAATTTCACTTTTAAAAAATGACAAAACAAATTTCAAAATTTGCTTCTCTTTTTAGAAATTCGTAAATGACATAATAACAAGTCGAGCAACTAACAGACGAACACTTTTTCTCAGGTAAATTGAACAACGTTGTTATTAATATGTCCACCGTATCGTTTCATTAATACTCTCGAAGTTTTTACTTTCGTTGCTGTAATAACATATTTTAACTACGAAAAAAAATCATTCGTACAATTTATTTTTCATCAAATTGTTTTTATTTAAATTTCCCGCAGAATGAATGGATTGGGATCGATTAATAATAAATGAATTATTGAATGAAGAAATGGCCGAAGTGATTAAATATATACGTATTTTATTTAAGATAGGAATAAAATTTATTCCAAAATATGAAATGATAGAAAATTTTAAAATTTCAGATCAAGAAATTAAAATGCACTTAGTTCTCTCGTTGTGATAGAACAAGAAATTTAAATATTGACAAAGAATTCAGAAGGAGTATTTCTGTGAAACTGAAAATTTTATTGCAGCTAAACTTCTTTCGGAATAATTCAAAAGAGAGCTAAAAGGAGACCGGAAGTGCTAAAAGGGTCTCCTTCCCATCTCATTGTTTCTCAATCCTGCAAAACAAGAGCTGTCAGATGTGTTAATCAGGAGAAAGAAGCAGAACTGGAGGGAAACTTGTGATAATAAAAATGATAAACTTATCAAGCAAACAGCATGGATGAGAGGAAGAGAATGAAAGGTAGAAGGAAAATGAAGAATTTAAGATTTCATTCTCTCAAACTTTGAACAGATGATTCATTGCTTCACGCAACTGCTTGCTTCAATTAACAATTATCACTACATCACATCACTCTTTCATCCTATGTATTGCAATAAAGGCAGTGATAATATTTATAAATTATTGTCGTTTGCGATTTAATTGGTCAGTTCTTAATTAATTCAATATGAGTTCAATTTCAGCATAGATCTATCATAAATGAGAATTGTTGTTAAGGAAATAAGTAGTAGCAGGTTAATTAAACATATACTCACATAAGAAATCACTTTTTTTCTTTTTCTAATGATAAAAAGATTTTGGCTGTTGTCTATAAAAAGAGAAAATGTAATAAACTACAAAGCTTAACCAATTTTCTTGAAAAACTAAAAGTCAGAAATATTTTCTGTGTACAATTTATTACACTTTCTTCTAATAATCATAAAGAACTTAAAATGCCCAAATTATCAGCGCAAGAAATCTATTCGTTTTCTCATAGTAATAGTTCTAATTTTTAAAATTATTAGACTTAAATTATGAAATAAAAACTTTATCAATCTAAGTTCAGAAGTTATTGCAGGAATTAGTTGATGAAGAAAGCAATTACATATATGCTTTTAAAGAGATTAAAAAGATTGAAAAGTTTATTAGCTTGTTTAAAAGTAGAAAAAGAAACTAATTGCTTTTTCTTTGATTATTTTTACGTTACAAATTTCCGATTTTTTTTTAAATTTGAATAAACATTAACTTGTTAGAGCGAATAAAGTTAGCATTGAGAATCATTTCCTTCCTGGAATCTCCCGTAAACCATGGCAATAGTGAATTTCATGAAAATATTCCACTTAAAGTCTCACATTTATTCATACCTAAATGTTGCACAAAGAATATACCATCGAGTAAATATTTCTTATTTAAATGTATTTAAACATAAAATATTTTAAAAAGATTTTAAAAAGATTTAAAATATTTAAAAAGAGCTCAGTATTTGCACTTCTAAGACGGTAGTTCGGTATTTTTGAAATTTTGTTTTCTTCTTTTTATTAAAAGGTTATTTTAAGCATTTAAAATAAAATTTTGAATGTATCATAGGCTTGCATGTTAGTATATAGCTGATAAGATTTGACAAGTTGCTTCATTCTTTTTTTTTTAATATTTAGCAAAATTTTGAAATAAAAGACTTTTTTAATGACTACAAAATCTATCCTTCCATCTTTTTCATCTTCTACTTCTTCCTCTCTTTCTTCGTATGATAACCTTGAATGCATTTGTGCCTACCGGAGAGGCGGTAATGACAGTTACTCAACTACGTCGCATTAATTCTTTCAAACGATATTTGTGAATTGGCTAACGATCATAATAATAACCAAATGAAAGGAAGAAAAAGAAGAAAGACAGAGAATGTATTAGCACTAGTGGTTGACAGTTCTAATTGAAATTTGTAGAAATCTCGAAGGGTACAAAGAAAATAATCGTTGTCACCCGATTTCACATTTCCTTTCGCCTCGTTTTCGTCTCTTCGTACAATGCCTTCAAATTCTAATAAATGTTTCTATGGCATTCATGATTATACTTGACAATAATTATTGGTTAGAGAATAAAGTAATCTCTATCTGAAATCGAAACGCATTTCTTATAAAAAATAAATTGAAAGAAATTTAACAGAAACTTTATTGCAATTTTTACTTTTTATACATAGAGGAAAGTGGTTCTGCCGAACTGCATATTATATTAAATTCACTATCCATAAAAAGCTTAAATTGCATAAAATAAATTGTTAATATGTATATTTGTTTGTAATCTGATAAATGATAATTGAATGTGTCACTCTAATGATACATTTGCATGACACAGCTACTTAGCATACATCACTTTGATGAAACAAAAGTATTCAAAACTTTGATCATATTGTTTTATTTTTTTTGCTGTTATCACTTGATGCTTGAAATTTTTCATCTTCACAAGTACAGCATTCATAT